AAATTAAGTTAAGGTTGAACAGAAAATCTGGAAAGAATCATAAAAAAACATAATAATAAAATCCTGGAAAAACATGCATTCCAAAATAGTATTAATAAAAACCTTAAACTAAAATTAGATAAAAATAATGAAAAAAATTTTGTGATTGTAGAAACCCTGATGACTGCCCATTGGAAAATAAATGCCACATAAAATCTGTGGTATACCAGTGCACTATCTCATCCATTGAGAGTCCTAACACTTAAATGATATACATAAGTTCCACGAAAAATGAATGTAAAATTAGATGGAGACAACACAAGAGCTCCTTCAAAATGAATAAAATACCAAAAGTAAAGTGGAAAATAATAAATAGAACAAGAACTTGTAAAACCTGGGATGACCCATCCCCATTATGCCTACATGAAAAACTACACATTATTAAGTTTCTAAATAATGAAGATTTATTAAACCATAGACATGAGTTAATGGTTTTTTGCCGACATCAACAAATTTTTGCATTAAATAATTAGCATAAAAAATTTAAAATTTCATGGTCTAATAAAAGGTTTAAAAGCTTAATCCAATCATAAGATAAAAAAAACCTTTATGAAGTCATCAAAAAAACAAATTGTAGTTCAGTGCGACGTGTTTATGTATGAACAACCCTTTTTTTTGGTGCCAATAACTATCTGTCGCTAAGACGAACTAGACGATGTGGATATAGGAATGCTACCATTCACTTTGAAATGGACACCCTGGCCCTGCCATGGCTTGGCCTCTTTCCAAGGGTGACTGATATGTTGATACAAATTGTTAAACCATACGCCACCTACTGGACTGGTCGCTTCAGTCATTTCCATAGTAATTAATTCTACGAATGAATATGCTTATAAGATGTGTAAACTTCAGGATTAGTTATTCCAAAGATTTTGCTTGAAGATGAAACAGAGCTTTTGGCTCTTGTTTTTGAAACACGAGAACTCTTATGTAGCAAAGGAATCATATGTTTAAAAATAATTATAATATATATATATATATATATATATATATATATATATATATATATATATATATATATATAAAAATATGACAAACTGGAAAATTTCTTGTGAAGCGTTGTATCCATCAGAATTTCATCGGATGAAACATATCACAAGAAATTTTCCAGTTTGTCATATTTTTCTAAATATTGTTTGTTGATATATAAAATTATACAAAATTATATATTGCTATATTATATATATATATATATATATTTGTATATATATATATATATATTTTCATGAATTATTCACACAAAAACAAATGCAAAGGTTAATGATTTAATTGGCGAGAAATCCATCGTCACAAACAATTGAAATAATATACAAAAACTTTCAAATCCGTTATGAATGAAAAGATCCTTGTTTCTATAAATTTCTGCCGCATTAATTCTTATTTTTACTACAAGCTTTCGTCTGTTCCTACAGACATCTTCAGGTATGGAATAGATGTTGTTCTTGTTTTTTCTCTTAGTAATAAGAGGACAACGAAAATATATGTATTGTTGTATCCGAAAATGCTATTGGAAATGAGTTATTGTTTTTGGAGCGTGCAATATATGTGTGTGTGTGTGTGTGTGTATGTATACAAATCTGTAAATTCAAAATTAAAGATAATCAGTAAATTACAACATTTATTATTAATTCTATCTATTTCTGTACTTTATAAATATTCATCATCATCATTTTATTTGTTTAGCTTTACAAATATTTAAATTGTTATTAACACTGTCACCACATTATCTTCATTTCTAAGCATTTTTTGTTATTGGTCTTACCATCATTATAATTATAACTAGTTTACCCATACTATCAAAAAAAGACACTATATATAAGTATTGTGATTGCATTGTACTTGTAAAATATCAAAAATTTTGTTTTGCTCTGTTTTCTTGCTTATATTCAACAGTTTCTGAATATTAAACAAAATAAAAAGTAAAATTACAAATGAAAATAAAGATGGAATATGTGAAAACCAGTTAGACTTTGGTAATTTTTATTTTCTTGCTGATATTTCACTCTCTTTTTAACATTGTGTGTGCTGAAAATTTAAGATGATAGACATTGCATACTTCATGATATCTCTGCAAAACTTAATCTTCTGAAGCCAGTAGGCCATGAAATTGCAAGAAGTTGGGATAAAAGATGTACCATCTGATTGGGTCCCAAAGCAATTGACTTAAGAATGCAAGTTCCAATGTATAGGAATTTTTCAACTTTTCGACTGGTATATGGGATCTAATAAGGAATTTTGGGAGCATATGATCATAGGTGTTAAGACCTGGATGCATCACTTTATGCCAAAGATACAGGTAAATTCTTTGACTTGGAAGCATCTCCCATTACCTATCACTTCCAAAAGTTCAGCAGTCAGCAAAGAAACTGATGCCAACTGTATTCTGGGATGTAAAGAGTGTGCTGAAACACATAACAGTCTGAAGGAAGCTGATTGTTGAGAGAGTTCAAAGATGTTTGCATAAGAATGCATAACACCCCTACACCCACACAAAGCCAACCTGATAAAAGTGTGGCTTCAATGATATAAGTTGAGATGTTTAATTGCATTCACTTGGTTCTTTAAGATTATCATTTCTTTGGGCTCCTCAAATGACATTTATTTGTTTAAGCATTTTCATAAAGATGATGCTATTGTTGCAGAGGTGCAAGGTTTGTTTTACTCATTTGATGCTGTATTCTTTGAAAAGAGTATTTATAAATTTAAACACCAAGTGCATCACTCTCAAAATAAACAATGTGGAAAAGTAGCATAATAGAATTGGTGATACATGCATAATATTTTATTTGTATAGTAATAAACATATTGAATTAGTAAATGCTTTCAACTTACTTTTCAGACATCCCTCAAATAAATAGATAGATATTATATTTTATAGATATGAATTACCAATATCATGATCAGCAATACAATCATCATTATTTATAATTATATTAATTAGAATTTTCTTTTTCACTTTTGCTAAACACTTCACTTGTAGCAATTATGTTTGTTGCAATTATTGTAATTATTGCTGACATTATTACTAGTAATATCATTGCATTATTTTTCTCATTTTAAGCTGATCCTCCTTCTCTTTTGACTTCACATTATCAATGTTTGCTAATTAAAACTATTAGTACTTTATATTAATTATCATAATTACTTTGTCATCCTCTGTAGTCTTTTTTAGAGAAATGAAAAATAAAAACTTACAAAATAAAAATTAACTTTACAATTCTTGAGAAATTGTTGGGATATACTAAAAAACATAGAAGAAAAGGGGAGAGAAGAATCACTGAGTTAAAGATAAAGAGCGAGTATGAAAACGAGAAGAGGCAAGTGTTGGAAATGTAGTGAGGGAAAGAAAGAGAGAAGAGAAGAGAAGAATGGGGAGGAAGACAGTTGCTAGACGTGAGTAATCGCTTGCAGGTGCTTCCAGTGGTGACAAATCGCTGTTACGAAAGCGAGGCAGCAGCAGTAGCAGCAACGAAAAAAAGAGAGAGAGAGGAAGAGAAATACGAGAGTGTTGTAAGTGTCGTCATGCCGGCCGCCGGACCCTGTGTTAAGAAGAAAAAGAAGATCAAGAAGAAAAGGCCGACCCCAGGACATTGCTAGAGACAGACATTGGTCAGGGATTCTGGTGACTTTGGCCTGTGCATGGCATAACAATAACCCATGCGGCCATGTCATGTTTAGCTGAGTTTTAAATAGACGAGTGAGTAGCGGTTAAAAAAAAAAAAAAAAAAAAAAAAAAAGTGAAGAAAAAACTGACGTCCATATCACTTTACTGCTAAGAGGAAAGAGATTATTATTATCATCATCGTTGTTATTATGACACTATAAACTCTATTAGACATTTCGTTCGTATTGTCCCTCTCTGGATATTCCACTGTTTATTTAGATTAGAAAACCCCGAGGAAAAATACTACTTTAAAAAAAACAAACAAACTATTGTTGTCCCTCTAGAGATCTCGAAAACATTTTTGCGAGTGTTTCATGTCTATATATGATATACAACAATTATCTAAAAAAAACAAGAAAAAACTCAAACATTCTCCTCGTTATTTTATTGATGAAAAAGCAGTCCTTATATGTCTTTTTTTTTTTTTTTTTTAACCTTTTCTTTCCTTAAGATATTTAATGAATGTCTCCCAGGAATAACGAAATAAACCCCTCTATTTATTTACATCGACCTTATTTGAAAGTATTTTTGTCTCTCTCCTGATATTTATCGATATCTCCGTTTTCCTCAATTAAAAACGGACTTTGTAAAAGAAAAGACGACAGTAGTGTTGTCCCTTTAACAGCTGAATATGGCCACAGCAAACAACATTGTATAAAAAATATTTAGTAAATATTTTTACACATCCCTTTCTGATCTACACACCTATTTGCAAATATACAATATAGTTGGTATATCTGGATATTTATGGCTTTATTGGCAGATCCCTGAATTTTTATTTTTTATTCCCTCCACCTTGTGAATTTCAATCTTGAGGTGGTGGTTGTAGACATCTGTCTTCTTATTTGTGATGATGCTTTTCTCTAGTTTTCCTCAAAAGGCAAATAGATCTCGATATTTTTCTTTCTTTTTGTAAATCAAAATAGAATTTTCTACGATTATTAGAAGTAAAAATCCAAGATTTTCTTAAATGGTTCCTAGTTACCTGGAAATTAAATATTCATTTTTATAAGTAATTAAATAAACTAAAAAACTAAAACCCTCAGTTCTTTTCTTCTTTCTGTCTGACATATTCTTTGGGGGGGAAAAATAATATACTTCTAAAATACAGAAGTGTTGTCTCTCCGCTCCATAACAAGATCGCTTTAAGACAACAAAATCATTTAATATAACTTAAAAAATAACCGAATTTGTTAATAAAAAAAAAAAAAATTAAAAGAAGAAAATAAAAGTACACAAATTTAAGTGGTACTCCAAAAGAATCCACTTTGAGTTTTAAAGAAAGGCCCTAGAAGACATGGGCAATAGCCAATCATGTTGTGCTTACTCTAGCCCCAAACAAATTCAAAATGCTCGCCACAAGCAAAAAGAGGATATATATCGTCCAGCTTGTCCTGAAGATATTGGAGCGTCTGGCCCAGGTGGTGTAAGTGTGGTCGGAGGGCTGACCAGTGGGGGTGCCCAAAAACAGAGTCACAGCAACTTGCAACATATCAGTGACCGTGAACCAGAGGGTAAGTATATTTTTAGTGCTTAATTTTTTTGGTGATTATTGTTGGTTTAGTTAAAACACCACTGTTTAATGAAAATAAAATCTCAAAACCAAGATTTGGTTGGTTGATTCCTGATTTAAGTATCCAGCTTCCTACATAAATGATTTCAAATGGTAGTTTGTCTATTTAGATCTCAGTGTATTGGCTGTCTTTGGCTGATTTTGTTCAGTGGATCACAAAAAATAGATAACTGTTAGTTATTTAAGATGATTTTAGATGTCACCATCAGTATTTTGTCCCTTGTTTTATTTATACAAAATATTGTGTTCTGGAGTAGGAACCCAGTCTAACAAAAAGTTTTGGGAGATTACTTTTTATTTGAATTAACAGTTCTGAAGGAGTAAATTTGTTATCTGCATTTGTTTGGAAAATAATTGTAGTCAGAATTACTTCTAGAGAAATTAATAGTCGTCACTAGTTGGTTTATCAAAAATGTATAAAAATTCAAATAAATGATAAAAAATAAGTCAATATTTTGGTTGGATTAATGTTGTAACCCTTGATTGGACTGCAAAAAGATCATAACAATAAGCTTATACAGAGAGGGGAGGATTAACTTTAATGCAATGAAATAAATCTGGTGTTTATGCAAACAGCAAAATATTTCTTTGTCATTTCATTGAATCAGATTACATCTCTGAACTCTAAATTGATTGACGTTTGTTTTGTCATGCAATGCTGTAAAGTGTAGATTTTATATTTATATTGAAGAATTAATTCCTGAGTTAAACACTTTCAACAAAATCTTTTCCTTGACTTTATTGTTAGGTCAAGATTGGCAGTTTTTATCATTTATGATGTCACACTAGGATAGATCTTTGTAATAAGATACTGGGTAATATAGATTTTAAAGTGTTTCATTAAAGAAAAGCTGAAATTGGTGATTTAACAATCTTTGTAAAGAAATATGATTTTGGCCAATTCTTCAAGGATAGATTTGTGTTTGGCATGTTTTTATCAAGCATTTCTTATGGTTTTATCGACCTTCATATGTGAAGAGATGTGCACTGATCATTTAAGCATTCTACACCACATCCCAAATGAATCTACCAATAGAAGACAACAATCCAGCATTCCCTCCCAAGGCCAATGTACTGATGATGAGGGGGTAGCTATGCTGATGACATAGGTATTCATAGTTGGGATAAGAATGATCTTGAACAGAAAATCAACACCCTCTGCCAAGTATTTCAAGATATAGGACTTAAGATAAACCTTTTGTAGTGAACTACTGCAAAGGGCAAAGACACTTAGGGTTGCATGCATTTTTTGCAACAGTCAAGAACAAGGATCACTTGCCTCAAGGTTGTAGACAGCTCTCCAGGTGAAGAGAAAAAGATTAAAGTGCCTTGTTTTTGAAGCCAGTCCCCTGCATTTTGGCCTCTCAGTAGTAGTTTGATGTAATACATGGATTGGTTGGTTCTTTGGTCAATTGGTGGTGACCTGAGACAGAAATCTCAGAAGACAAGAGGTGGGGAGAATTCATCTTGGTGACAGTTGTGTTGTTGATATGTTGTCCAGCGTGGTGAAGTACAGTGGGGATTTGTAACAGTGATGTTTTTTTTTTCCTACACTTTTCCAAAACAGAAACTATGATCTGGAATTTGAATGAAAGCAGTCATCACACCTACCCTGAATCCATCATAAAAATTATGGATGTGGATTTATTAAATATTAAACACTTCAAATACCTTGGTATATGGATCAGGTATCACTAATTTAGTATTGGGTATAAGGAAATCGAACATAGAATAGGCTGTGCTAGAGGTAGTTTCACCAAACATGGCAAGTTGCTATAAAAATGAAACAATGACATAAAAAATTGAGCCGTTTTCTAAAATAGCTTTGTCAGATTGAGACTTTCACAAGGATTTCATGCAGGATGCCCAATTTGTTCAGAAATATCTAAACTGTCAGCCATATACAACCGCTTTCTCAGATCAACAGTTAAAATGATTTCAAGCAAATGAAACCTGTATGTCATAGTGGGGATCATACTTTTTTTAAACCTTCTAGACTGACACTAGAATCACAAATTAAGAACTGTACCAAATAACAGAAACCGAGTTTCTTCAGGATTTTCAGCAACAGCAACAACTAAAAAGAATAATACATATAATTCAAGGAGAAAATAATGACATAATCAAAATGTTGATATTCCACATTACTACTAATAAAAGGTTAGGAAATAAAACCTCATCAAAAAGTGATAACAGTGGATTTGAGAAACTTATTTTCCTGAAAAATTGTTTTAAGAGAAAAAAATTGATATATTTCAACTGACAGCTGTACTGGCTGCTCAGTTAATGAATGCCAAATTTTTCCTTATAAGGAAACAGCTAATATTACCATTACTATTTGAAACAAATACTTAACGTCTTTTAAAGCTAATATTTTTAAATCTACTATTGTCATAGGATTGCTATGTACTCTTAAAGGACACTACCCACTTTGTTACATTCAATTTTGTGTGTGCGTTTATTACCACCTGACCTTTGTCTACCTTCTACTTGGTGTAAAATAATTCTTTATATGTGCATGTTTGATCACTATCGCTGCATATTTTTCTCAAGCATCATGAATTGAACTTTCTGCCAGTGTAAAATAGAGGTAGCAACAATCTCATTTCATTACAGTTTTTAAATTAATTTTTCTGTATTTGTATAAAATGCTTTAAGCTGGGAAAATTAACAATGACTTTATACTCTTTTAATAATTAAGTTTTGATTCCTGGTCACAATGGATAAAAGCATTTACTTTTGCCATGGATAATAAAGTTCATTTACAAGTGTGAGAGTTAAATATATTGTTACATAGGATAGACAGAGGCTATTAAAAAAACAAAAAAACACTTGCTCGTATTTGGTAAACAAAAGAAAAATCTGATTCATATGTTTGAATTTATTTTGAATTTAAAAAATTATTGCTTCCTAATATATATTCTACATAAGTAACCTTTTGTTCCAAACTAATCTGTTAAAATTTATGTAAAGATTTACTATCCTCTGCTTTATTTAATTATTCTGACTTCGATCTGTGTGAAATATTTTATATTCTTGTAAAATCAAACCTGTTTATCAATTACACACTGTTGCAATAGCTTTTTAGATTTGTACTATCATAAGTATTGAAAATATTTAGTAGGTAATTGCATTGATAATAGAGTATTTCCATGTTGGACGATACTAAGGTTATGATTTCTAACAACAGAAATTTTCAGTTCTCCAGAGTTTGCTGAAAATTGTCTTTGGTTACAAACTGACAATAATTAGCTTAATAAAATTTGCTCCTGATACCCTAGTGAACAAATCTGTAAAAATAATATTAACACTCTGGCTAGAGAAATATAGTATTGATATATTATGACTACTTGCTTTGTTGATAATTAAAAAAAAATAGTACATTTATTAAAGCAATATAAGTATTTTTTAGTATTTCTGTTAGGAAATAACTTTTCTGTACTTTTTATTATTTCATTATTATGTATTAACATGTAAGTTCTAACTATAGTAAACAGTATGATTTGAATGTAATGTTAGTCACAAATGCATTAGATAAAGGAATTTTCATTGATTAAAAAATATAATATGGAATAATTACATGTCAAATTTTAAAAACAGCATAATATAAAAAAGAAAAATGACTCAAAGATTGGATAGGTGCATGTACTAATTATCTCTTTATACACAATTTTTTCATGTCAAGAAATTTTTATTCATGTTTATTGTTGGTAAAACAGTTTTTTTCCTTTTTAAAATCTCATCTCCAAATTAAACATTTTTATTGGAATCTGTTCATTAAATTGAAATGTAAACACAAAACAAAAGTGATAAAAAATATTGAGATAAAGCTTTTGTATATTCAGTTTCTTATGAGATCATTAAATTAGAAATTTCAATGTTATTTGCATCAATTTTGAGTTTTTTCCAAAGAATTGGAGAAGAGTGAGTATTGAGGTTTAAACTCACACTACAAATCAAGTTTTCATTTGCTGTTAAATGTTTCCATGAGTCTATCTGCAAAGATTGATGAAAAATAATTGGGGTAAATGCAAACTAAATTCCATTCACTATTTACTTTTATAAAAAACACCCCAACTCAATGACAATTATTTGAAAATGTTAAAGGAGACTTGTCACTTATTTTGATTGTTTACTGTAGTGAAAATATGAAACTTTTGTGTATTATGGTATTTTAATTTATGTACAAATGATGAAGCCTGGATTTGTATTTCCCCACTTGAAATTTGTCTATTACTTGTATGTTTCTTCTTGAGCCCAAATCTTCTTTTTGATTTTTTATTAATGAAAGTTGGCCACATTCTTCTATTTTGGCTAAAAATCTGCAAAAGCAGATTGCTTCTATTGATATACCATTTTTGTATTTTATAAATACTTTATAAATAATTTAAGGTTGATTGTGTATATTAAAAAATTATATACAATTGCATTGAATGTAAGACCATATAAAGAAAAAAAAACTAAATTTTCAAATGTTAGTTTGCTTACCCATCATCAGTGATTTTTGCAGAATATTTTTATTTTAAACAAATTTTTCTTTTTTTTTTCAAAACCAATCTCATGCTTATAGTTATGAAAATAATCTGAATAAAATTGACAATGTGAGCTAGCGAGACTGTATTTATCATTAGTGATATGATAATCTATTTTATATTAATGAAACGGAAGTGTGGGTAATTTTTAATGTTTATAATCTATTTTATATTAATGAAACTGCATTGAAGTGTGTGTAATTTTCAGTGTTTATATACACACACACACACACACATGCACACAGAGGTTGTATCAAAAATATTTTACAAACTTTGGGGCAGTTTCCTCACACCAGAACAAGTACAAAAGCCCATATAAACATATGTTCACAAATCCTTTGAGTTATTAAGTTCAAAGAAAGTTTATGGAAGATGGCACTGTGTCGTCGTGTAGACTAGGTTACATTTG